GATGTCAATATGTAATGCAACAAGCATTGTTAATTTCCTACCACTTTGTTTGTATCTTTGTATTATTTGTACTGTTGTTTTGCTATTTTGTAAAAGGTTGTCTGTCTGTTAATGTTTTCCTCCTTTTATTTTTAAAATAAAAATAAATAAATAAGTAAAATTGGGAGGAGGGAGAAAAAGTTATGGTCTAGAGGACTAAGAAGATAATCTCAGAGAAAGAAACAAATTTCAAACACAGTCTAACACAGATGTAAAGATGTCTAATGTGCTCAGAGAAAGCCTTAGAGCTTGCTACTACTTGTTCCTAAAACTAGTGTAAGGAAATACTGGTTAAGGTAGTAAGGAGAAAGTAGATTCCCAAACGTGGAGACTTTACAGTCTAAAGCAGATGTTTTGTATAGGAAATTATAGGAAAATAACTGCAAAAACAATAAATGAATCTTAGAAGGGGCTGGGGATTTAGCTCAGTGGCACAACACCTGCCTGGCAAGTGCAAGGTCCTGAGTTCAATTCCCAATACTGGGGGGAAAAAAAAAATGCTGTAGAAGGATTACAGCATTTCATTTGCCCCTCCCACTCAGTTACAGGTAACATGTGATGATGATTTGTGGAGGGAGCAATTTGCAGTAAATATAGCTGCTTCGAAAGCTTTTGTAAATGGGGAAGTGAGAGTAGTTGGGTACCTAAACAGGCACCGAAGGGGAGAAATTAAAACATAAATAAATACCAATGGAAAATACATTACAGTTGAATGAGATGAATAATAGGAAGTGTAATTTTATGGGAATGAGGATGTTTAGAGGTTTATGTAGGGAGAGAGAAGTTTTGTATAAAGGAAAAAGACAAAGAAATGGAGGGAGAAGGAGGGCAGGGAGAGGAAGGGATTAAAAATAATTTAAGATGTATTGCATGCATGTACTACTCTCCATGAGGAATGTAACCATTGTCTATTGCAAACATAAACTAATAAAAATTTAAAAATAATTAAAAAGAAAAAGCAAAGGCCATTAAAGTTAAATATATATTTATGAACAAATATATTTTAGATTTTATAAAAGTTGAGTAAAATTACAAGAGCTGTATTCATTTCCCTTCTAGATAACCAACCCCATTCACTTTGAAAAAGACTTCCAGGTTTTAAGAAAGGATGAATGGAATATTTTTTGGAATACTCAGTTTTGGAACTCAGTTTCTGATCAGCTTCCTAAATGTAAGCACTGACATCAGGATGACTTTTCATGTTTCATGCTATTCAAACAAAGAACATCTCTGCACCTAAAGGAAGGCAAGAGTGTGGTCTGTGGGAGACAATAATGTGGCTCTTACAACTGAGATTTCACTCAGTGAAAAGAATGTGTATGAGGACTGCATTTTCCAAAGTTAATGGGGTTCAATATACCTCATTCTTAAGAGAATAACTCTGGTCAGTGAAGGGTTGAGTATTTATTGTGAATAACATCCTTTAATAACAGATACATGTTAAAGCTTTGCAATCATAAAGACAGAATTCTCATTTGAGAAACAAATCATAGAGAAGGTATTTTCACACTTGGTTGCTCCAAATAAGGCACTATACAGCATCCAGTTCAATATCATCATACCCAGTTTCTTCTTGTCTCAGAGCCAAGGGGGATTCTTTCTCATCCATGAAAGAAAGGGTGGCTTCTTGGGAGACTGAACAGAGTTGCCTGAAATGGTAAAGGAGAGCACGGGTTTGAGTAATGACAGAGGGAGAGTGTATGGTTTGCCTGCAGAAGGAAAGATTAGTGTAGAAATGGATGCAAGATATCTGTGTGGAAACAAGACTTGTCTGAAAGGCAAGATGGACCTGCCTCACCCCTATTTTAGCGGGCAGGGATTGAGACAGGGTCTTGTTATTAAGTTCAAACTGGCCTTGAAACACTATGTAGCCCAGGCTGGCTTCGAACTCAAAGCAATCGTCCTATCTCTGCTGCCCAGTTGCTGTGCACTGCCATGTCTGGCTTCATACCTCATACTGACTCTTTGTATAGTCTTATCTTGATCTGAGTGATGGGAAGGAGGAGTGATAGTAATGGCAATGCAGGGGAAGGAGACATCAGTTCTTTTACACACCAGGCAGGTATGATTCCTTAAGGAATGGAGACAGGAGATGGCCCTTCATGATTCCTCAGTACCTCAATAATAGAACACACTTAATCTCAAAGTATTCATGAGAACAATTTGAGTCCTCTGTCAAATGCCAAAACAGAGCAGTTCAACCTAATCCCATGATATCTTGCTCCTCATGAACCACATGCTCCCAGATAAGCAGAATGCCTGGTCTTGCATGTCAACAGAAATAATGCAGAGAATTTATCTCTTCCTCCAAGTGAAGAAATTTTTTGATCCTTAATTTAAAGCCATTGCACATTCTGCATTAATTGCACCCAATGTCAACCTCAAAACTTTGGTTATATGGCTACCTGAAATCAATACTTAGAACTCATATATGTAATTTACTTTACTCTTTAAGAATTACACAAAATGTCTCACAATTTAAAAGATCCCCTATATTTATTGTCAAATCATATATATTCATTTGGGGTGTGAAAATGAGAGCAAAAACACAAAGTTTCTGCAACTCATACTGTAGCAGAAAATTCCCAGAGCCAGTATACTTCCATTGTCCAGGTGATAG